TGCAAACAAGGGAGTTCTTCTTCTTTTTCCAGATTGAGTCCGACCAGCAGCATCTCTCTGCGCCGAGTCCAACTTGGTTTTTAGATGTACAGTGTGAGTCGGTAGATCGCATCAGAGCGTCAGGTCGCACAGTGCAAGAACAAACATCGTGAGATGTGAATTTTTATACCCTGTGGTTTCGTCATACAGTTTGAGCTGTAGCTCCGTGCAATGTATATGTGTATGCCCGGCTTTAGTTCTGCTGCCATAGGAGTTAATGATCGTCGCCCTCTAGTGGTCTGCAGCCCTTCCATCATGCAGCGATAGTTTGCAGCTTATCTCATTTCACTCCTATTTTTACTATTTGGAGCATCTTTGTTTCATGTGTTTGATTTAACTCTATTTTTATTTTATTTTTTTGAGTTTGCTGAGAATTTTGGGTTTGCATCTCTCGGCCACCGCAGGGAATAATCCATATATTATAAGCCTAAATTAGCCTTTCATGTTAGCACGTCCTCGATGCATCAACGCCTGAGCCGTCTGCTGCAGAGGGGACGCTCTCTTAGCAGAAGTCATTTCATTGTCCTCATCTAAAACAAAGGATGTCCAACGATACCGACGCAGATTAACAGATAATGGCAACACAGCAATAAATAAACAATGAAGCCAGAGTCTGAGAGGCAGCTGATTGCATCTGCCACCGCAACCCTGGACTGCAGAGGAAGGAATGAGGGAGGAACGCTGACGCTGAGCAGGAGGCAGAGACGGAGGAAAATAAGAGTCTGGGTTGGGGTGTTCCCTCCGTGGCTTTATAAGCCCCTCTATGTTACATAACCAACATCTGAGAAAGGTTTTTACTGTAGCAAACCCCATAACCTCATGCCCCACTTAAAGAACATGACTTTATTCGCTCCATTATGACCGATTCTCCTCTCCGCCTCTCAGGAACGGGCTTCCTGGTGGCAAACGGAGACAGATGGAGCGCAGCGGGAAGATTTCCCAAAAAGTTTACACTTAAAACCATTTGCATCAGGTTTCACAGACCTCTGTCTACCCCCGCCCCCCGCCACCACCACCGTGTGGCACATCTAATATAAGCCTGGCCGCTGATTGGCTGCAGCGTCAGGGTTGTTTATTAGACCCCAACCTTCAAAGTGGTCACAGACTCCACGTTTTATTCTTCTGATCCAATTTTGTCTTAGAAAAGAACTACATTCAATTCAACAGCATAAAAAAAATAAACCTTTGGCTTTTTAAAGACTGATCATAGGGATCTGAATCCAAGCTGTGCCCTTTAATTTGCTCTGACTGCACGCCAAAGCTCTGCAGCACCAATAACATTTCGTTCAGGATGAGATCCTGTGAGTTCGAGTATCATTCTGTCAAAAGTCGCTTGGGAAAGTCTAGCCTGCAGCTCTAAGTTCAGCGGCCGCTGCTGTGAACAAGCGTCTTCTGTCTGAGTCAGAGATATGACACAAGAGTCCCATTAGTTAACGGCCGGCGTTAAATGTGCAACATTTGCTGTTTGGTAGCAGGTGACTCACAGGCTAATGGCTGTTGTATTATTCAGAACAGAATCAGAGCAGGATGAGGTAACGTATCCTGTTTGTGTGACACAGCGTTCCTGCAGCAGCAGATCTGCACGTGTGACGGCAGGACGCCGTGTGAGCCTGATGGCATGAATGCTACAACTAAACCTCCAATCATGTGGTGGAGAAGCGGACGGTGCGCTTCGCTGGTAAAGACGTATAAAAAGCTTTAGGTTAAATCTGCATCGTAGCACAATCTGTCTGGTTCAGAGTTCTGCAGGATTCATGATCCAAAGAGATGTTCTCTGCTCAGTTCAGCTGAATAAAACGTAAACCTTTTGATAATGACGCAAAAATTGCTTTCATTCTTCTTACATTTTAAGGTTTAGTGAAGAAAGATCAATCTGTATGATTGCATTGAAAGAAAACAATTCTTAAAGGTGTGTCTCTCAAAAAAAAAAAATGTATTTGCATTTTTGCTATAAAAATAATAAAAAGTTTGATTAAACTTTGATGAAAGTTTAATAAAAAGCCTGATTTTGAAGCCTGATTTCATTTATTTATTGTTTGTTTTTGTTTTTCAAAATAAAATTTTTGAAAAAAATAAGATTTGAAAAATAAAATTTAAATAAAGCTGTAAGAATCAAAAATGTAAAGTTTTTTAAATTCCCATTTTTGAAAGAGTTTTTTGCTTTCAATAATACTAGAACTAATTTCTCTCTATACTTAAAAAATGTATTCGTTTCATGCGTCTTTATTTATTTTATTTTATTTTTTTCAAATAAGAATAAAACTTTAAAGCTGAATTACAACTGTGATAAAATCGTATCGGTTAAAATTGGAATCGGCTTTTTGAAAATTGATGATCGGCCAGAAAACTGTAATGCTATGTTCAGACCGCACGCATTGGAAGCAGCAAACTGCAGGCAGCAGGATAATAAAAATCCAACATATTTAGCCGGCAGGTTTCTACATTTTAAGTTAATTTAGACGTTAATAAACTGTTTCAGAGGAGTGATCATAGCGCTCTGCATCAGCAGTGCTGTGTCTGTCTCCCTGCCAGCTCCCAGATCAGCTTCTCTGATTGGTTGATGTGGCGCGTCCAGCAGCTAAAGTTAAATTTTTCCGACTCCAGCAGCTGTTGCTTTCGCAGCGCGTCCCGCGCATCCGATGACTTTGCAGTGTGCGGTCTTGAACGTGGCATAATCAGTTAATCTCACCAGAAAATATCACTGGTATCTTCAGGGTCATTCTCACGCACAAAGTTAGGGCAGTTATTCAGTTTACAAATAGGAAAAAAATGCCTTTAGTAGGCCTATTGTTTAACTTTTAATTGCTTCTTAAGTTCTAAAGAGCCATTGAGGAAGGTCCAAAGCTCTAGATCTAGGTTGGATAGAAAACTCCATCAAGACCCTGATTGTTTTCTTGGGGAAATGATAATTATTTTTGTTGACCCTGTGTTAATAATGTCAAACAGCGTAAAACTGACCCTCAGCATCACCGATCCTGCTCCATGCTCGGCATGCTTCCACGTCTTTACACTAAATGTTAGACGGATCAGGAGGAGCTTTCATCTAAAGCACTGATTTCGCTTTTTTTGATTTCGCTCAGAGTCTTAGGAAGACAAGATGTACCGAAGCAAATGTTCATCCCTGCTTCTCCTTCTGGCACCGCCTGCATTTCACAACAGCGATTGCATTTTGCAAATTACAGTCCACGCTGCATGAGTGGGCCTGTACCTGTGGGCGTGCAGGCGTCGTGTTCCTGTTGCTACGAGCTGAAGAAGAAGAAGAGCTTTTTCTTTGGCTGAAGGCGAGAGATCGGATCAGAGCGACAGGATTTTACTTGATCACAAATCAAACTTCTGGAGTGTGTTGGTGCATGCAGAAAAATACCTCGCTGTCAGAAGGTACCGTGAAAACCAAACCAGAGCCATGTAAGCGTGTCTGACGTTCCTCTACTGATGGCTTTGGTTTAGTGGATTTCCAGCCACATTAATCCACAGAGAGGCGATTGTGCTTCCCATCAGGACGTCCATCCGTTAGATTACATGTCCTTCAGCTCAGACCTGCAGCAGCTGTTTACTTTGACTTAAATACCGCTTTCCTTCCTCCTGACTTGCTTTTTCTTTTTTCTACTTTCTCATCCGTCATCTAATTAAACAGACACCTCTTCTTCATCTCCTTTTTTGCTGTGCATGCATCTATCTGACCATCTTGCCCCTTTCCTGCCCCCCCTACTCTCATCCTGACGGAGCGCTTTGAGGCCTCCGGGTCTGTTGCATAACGCCACCATCAGCTGCATCACCGTTAGCCAGGCTGCCCTGCATCTTCCAGGAGGCCGAGAGCTTCCAGCTGCAGGTTTCTTTAGATTAGGACAGAAAACTGATCGTTTCTGCCTCCCTCCAACCTGAAAGCATTAAACTCTTGACTTCACCAACTTTGCATATTAGCGGAGCATTCTGATATATGAACAGGCTCAGATGTCCACCATGTTCCTGTTCATTGGAATGTAGGAAAACATCATTTGTTTTTTTTTATTTGATTAATTATAACAGATTAAAAAAGCCCTCTATGTTGTATGGGTTTGCTGTCATTCTCTTTCTCCTTTTCAGATTCTTTTCCTTTATTATTTTTCTTCCCTGTCCCTCTTTTGGGTTCGGCATTATTGCAAACCTGTAAAGTTTGGTAACAAAAATAAATAAAAAACAGTTTGGGTGAACGAAGGGGGCTCTTCCCTTGGCAAAGCGAATGTGTTCAGTCCTGTAGCCATCTATGAACCTTCCTTTCATCTTTCTGTGTCCATCTTTTTTTTGTTTTATTGAGAAAATGTCCTTCTATGGAGTGACTTTTGTTCCATTATTGTTGCAAAAAAAAAAAAAAATTTTTAAATGAAAATTTAAAAAAACATTCATCATTATATTTAAAAAAAAAAAAATTTGTGAGTAACTTTGCTGTTTTTTAATTTCTTTATCACAAAGTAGTAGAAATATGTCCTTTGCATCACTTTGCTCCTAACCGCACCTACTGTGGGAAACCTCCCTGAAGCACCCAGGATCCCTGCTTTCTGCAGGCTGTGCAGAAACAGCGGCGTTCTGGAAGGATCCGCCTCTGACTGAACCCTGCAGGTCGTTCTGCTCAAATCTGGAGCAGAGCTGACGCCTCTAACCTACTTTAGCGAGTTCTGCTGTGGATCAGAGAGTCTCGGCTCTCGTTCGGTCCGAGCAGCTCGTCTGGATCACCGTCAGCCAAACTATCTGCTTCCACAGGGTTCTAGTCGGGCCCGCCAGCCCCACCCGCCTCCTTTGCCCTCGGGAGATCGATTTATTCCACAGGTGTGCAGTTTTCTCCTACTTTTTCCATTTTCCCTACAGAACCTCGGGGTGAGACCCTAAAGTCTGGCATGCACAGAAACCCTAGACCCTGACCCAGTTAAACCCAGAAACCAGTGCGTTTCCATGGCAGCGACACCAGCAGAACCTGCAGACTTTACCTGACTGGATGGTCCTGTCCCTCTGCACCATGCCGGAGACAATCCGTCCTTCCCGCCTGGACTAGCGATGCATGCTCCGAGATGACGGACGGCCGGCCGGGCGAAGCGTCCCCACACCATCCACCCAGAGAGGCGTCAGAAATGTTCTCCTGCAGGCAGCAGCTGGTTTTCCACAGGCAGCTGTACCTCAGACTCTCCTCTCTAGACCGACTCTACAAGTGTGAGCATGTCCCGGCTCAGAGGGCGTGAGCGGCGGCGCCTCCTAGCTCCTTGGATAACAACACATAAGTTCCACTCTCCTATATCTGATCTGCTACTTTTTGCTCTGACTGGTTCCTCTAAGGTCCTCGACCGGTTCAGGAATAAGAAACAGAAAAGAAGTGAAGTCCCAGTAGCCACTCTTCAGTTCTTCCTTCCCTCTGAGAAGTTATGCAATCAGACATGACCTCCCCCTTCCTTCAGCCTCCCCATCCTCCACCTCCTTCCACTCCTACACTCTGACAGCTTTTGTTAGCAGCAGACTGGTTCAGAGGCCAGTTTGGAACTGGGAAGACAGGAAATGTTCAGAGCTCTGCAGGCCAGCCCGTCTAGAATCCGCCGTCATGCACGCGTTCGTCTGGATGATAACAGATCTCAGAACGCAGGGAGGAATCTGCTGGAGTAAACAAACCTTTCTGGATGTCAAACAGGACGCTCAGCGGAGCTCCAGTGCAGAAAACATTCACTCAGATGTTTTCCTCCGAGCTTCAGGTTTAAAGTGGAACTTTTATTCGTCTAGTTGAGTTTTGCAGAATAAACACAGATTTCTGTTGAAACACTGGATGAGGAGCATCTCTAAGCTTTAATCCTCACTGCTGTTTTCTCCTTTTAATCTGTTTCTACGGAGTAAACTTTGTTCCATTATTGTTTTATTTTTCATAATAAATTTTTTCTAATTTCTCTTTTCAAATCGTGTTTTCTGGATCACACATCTGGGGGCGGGCTTTCCTCTGGACTGAGGAGCAAAGACTCTTTTCTATTGGTCTGCTTGACGTTAGTTGCAACATTTTTACTGGTCGGCAGTGTTTGGTTCGGGCTGGAAGTGAAGCGAATTTGATCTTTAAAACACTTTGAAAACAATGAAATTCATCAAAGTTAGTCCGAGAAGGAGAAATAAAAAAAAATACAATCTAAAATCTATAAAAAAGAAAAGGGGGCGTGTTTTGGTGGGGCAGTGGTTAGCGCACACGACCCGGTTTGAATCCAACATTTGGTCCTTTCCCGTATGTTAAGGGTTCCTACAGCATAAGGTGAGTTAAACTCAAGACTTTTTAAGACTTTTTAATGCCACTTGAAATAAAAATTTAAGACCAAATTCACAAGAAACAAGAACAACTTGCTTGTGACAACTTAACCCAAAAGGTTTATTTTAACATAAACCACTGCACTAATGTTTCAAATTTTAAAAAGCTTCCCATACAGGAAGAAAGCTAAAAACACACAAATGACAGATATATTTGTTTATTTAACTGAATTCACAAACTTTGTTTTAGCAGGGAACAAAACAAATCAGTTTTAAAGCCCCAACATAACCAGTGCTAAGTGTTTTTTGCAGCTATTTTTCTTTGTATGGTTTTCTTAGTATGTTTGATTTGGTGATAAGTGGAGGCGTTGCAGAGACAAGCGTGGAACAATACTGAGAAATACTGGCTGTGTCTCTGTAACTCCATTTTGACGCTTTGTGTTTCGCGCTTCGCATGTGCGACTCCACTGCCTTAATTCCCATCGTTCTGAGCTTGAATGACTTCTTGCACCAAATCCACTGAGCCTCATGTATGTTCCCTGGTTTTAGCCATGGAGAAAACTCTTGGCTGGAGACAATTTTCGTTACATTTACACTTGCTCATATTTTCCAGACATAAAGTTAATGGCGCATCTCCCAAATGTCCCGGCCGCAACACGCTTTAATTTGTTCCGCTATCGGGACCGAACCAGTAATGGCGAGCCATTATTATTTTTAAATACAAAAAAAGGTAAATTTTAATGTTTTTTGTTGATTACACAAATAAATCATAATAAAAATAAACCTATTTATGATGTTTTAAAAATTAAGATCGACGAAAGACTGATTTAAGACATTTTAATACCAATTAAGGCCTTAGTTTTATTTTGAAGAATTTAATGCCTTTTAAAACTTTTTAAGGACCCACGGGAAGCCTGATGTTACTCCCCCTCTCTCATACCCCCGTTCCTGTCAGCCTTCTTTCCAAAAAAATGAGCCACAAGTGCCATAAAAAAAAAAAAAAAAAAAAAGAGAAACTTTGGAAAAAAAGAAGAACCTTTTCCTATAAATTCAAACCGGGGAAAAAAAGCTGAATCAGCAAACAGAGAAGAAACGGTGATCAAATAAGAACCAGGGTTTAACATCAAAGGCCAGTGATAGCAGGGAGCCCTCAGCATGATGCTGCCGCTGTAGAGGGGTGTCCTCAGGATAAGTCTGCCCCAAACATCAGATATCTTCACTCCTGACCCGTCTGCTCTGCTCCGAGGCCGCCCTGCTGTTCTGACAGTAAATGCTGGACGCCATTAATCAGGAGACTGCATCAAATGTGTGAAACGCTCACACTCTCTTTATCACTCAAACGATGAGCCAACGCCACGTGTTAAAGTTTGTGGCTGTAAGGTGAAGAAAACATCATAAACTTAAGGGTGTAAAAACATCTGCAAACATCGGCGTAATGAAAGAGCGAGCAGGAGAGGCTGCAGCGTCTTCTCTGCCGATCAGCCTGCATCAACACGTCTGCCTGACAGGAGGAAAGCGTCAGGAAAGGTCCAACAGCAGGAAGGAGCGCTGGCCTGAGGCTGACGGCAACTTTAAAGGTAAACAAGGTCCTGCGACGTGACGTCACACTCTGAAACCAAACGGACAAAACTGCAAAAACATCTCCTCTATGATGCAAAGATGTGCCGAGTATCTGCAGCCAGCTTCAGGTTTCACCTCCAATCAATCTCTGCTTATGTGGTGAGACAGGAGCAGAGCTTTGTTATGCTAAAGACCCTGAACTGGATGCACTGGTGGCCCCGCTGCTTCCAGGATCCTTCATTTACACCAGAGATAAGCCCTGGCAGACCTCCAGGCACTCACTGTTACTCCATTTCTATTGCACTTCATGAAGCAGGTGAGACAGTTTGCCATTTCAATAAAATGGTTCATTTTCATAAAATACAAAAAAAAAAAAAAATCTAATTTCAACCAAATAATATCTAATTGTTTTATTCTAAGGGTAAAAAAAAAACTCAATAGATTTCAGATCATCCTATGTCCTGCTTGAATTTAGGGCAAATAAGTGACGCAACATCTGCATGAAGGAGAGAAAAGCAGCAGCAACTAAATTATCAATAAAAACATCTACTGAAGGAGAATAAGGTTGCAGTAAAAAAAAATTTAAATAAAACGGGTAATTTTAGCAAATTTACTAATCATAAAGAAAATCTCATAATAGATAAGAAAATACATTCAAAGCTGAATATTTTCCACAGACGATCAGAACGAGAAAAAGCATTTCATGAACGGTGAATAATGGGAAAAATAAGCAAACATGTCAGATGATTAAATCAGGTGAAAGTTCATCGCAGGTTCATCGATCCTCACCTAAAACTCAAGCAGACCTGCAGCCGAGCGCGCAGCATTAAGCCGCCGCCGCCGCAGGAGGGCGGCACGCAGGACAAAAGCCAATTAGGAGCAGAAGCTGCTCCGCTCCTTATAGTCACTTTAAAGCACGCAGACTTTCACCTCAGAAACACCCCTTTAGTTTAACTCTGTCACTGAGTTATGGTGGTTTTAATTCACATGATCTAAAAGCAAACTGTTATTCTACAGGAGTAAATCTCCTTAATACAGAGAATTTAACAACAAACTGAATCAATAAAATCTCCTTGTACTGATGCAGGGGGAACATTACTATAAATGTTAAACAAAAAGTAAAGTTTTTTTATCAAACAGCCAAAGTAAGATTTATCTCATAGCAAGATAAATATAACATTTGAGAGGAAAACTACATCTAAGCTGCAAATAAAAGTTCAATACAAGCCCAAGTTCAGTCATAAGAAAGTCAAATAACCAGAATTCAAACTGCGCTGCAGGAAGAAGCTGTTTTTAATAACGGCGTATTAAAAACACTCCATGCAGCAGCTCTGCTGTGGTTCTCTTGACAGCAGGATCATCAGTCTGTCTGCTGCAGATCATCCTGAGTTAAAGAGTCACACAACCCTGAGGTGTTCCAGTGTTTTAGAGGAAACCGTTCCCCTTCAGTCTGTGCAGAAAACTAGAACCCATCTGGATCCATGTCAGTTTGCTCAGGTTGGAAACAGCCCTGCAACCAAAAACATGCAAACAACTCATTTTCTCCCTGGAAGATCAAACCAAGCAGAGTCGTCTACAGGAAACCAGGAAGCAGCAGGATAGAAGGGAATAAACCAGCAGCGCTGCTGCTATCAACTGGGATAGGAGATGTGGAGCCAGGTTTATTACTCATGTGGAGTTTATTGGGTTATTTATAAACAAAAATAAACATTTTATAGGTAGAGATTAGAATCAGAATTATACATCCAGCCACTGCGCAAATAAACCCATCAAAAAACAGCAAACAATCAGAGATGCTAAAGTGGAAATTAAACGTTCAAGCAAACTAACTTAATTCACAACATTTTGTCTACTATTATCAACAACTAAATTAGGGCTGAAACAGTTCAATTAAATAAATCAATTATTGAAATGATAGTCACCTAATTTGGTTTTTAATTGATTTTAGCTGACAGAGCGACTCACAGCTTAGAATTACATCAAAATTGTGAAAACAAATATATAAACTTTTTGCATTTAAGATAAAAAAAACACGTTTTCTTCTGTCAATCTGCTCTATCCAGACGTCCTCAAGTGGAAAAGCTAGTTTCACCTGGTTTATTTGGACCTTTGACTATTTGATTTTTAATTGATGCATTAAAAAAATAAATAAATTTGCAATATAACCGTTAGTTGCGGCCTAAAAATAAATTACAAAGGTGATAAATAGAAAGGTAAAAGAACAAACAAAGCTTTGTTTTATAATTCTTTGGCAGAACGCCGCCACGTTGCAGTGCAGAGCGGTGATGTCACGGGGTCGGTCGATGCCTCAGCTAGTAGATAAATACATTAATAATAATATATGTTAAATGGCCTGTACTTATATAGCGTTTTTTTTTATTAGTCAGAAGACTTGACCAGAGCACTTTACACTACATTCAATCATTCACACACACTGATGGTGGCATCAAGCTGCCCTGGGGCTCACTAACAGAATTGAGGCTGCCGTACGCCGACGCCATCGAACCCTCTGGGTGAAGTTTTGCCAAACGACAGTAAAGACGTCTTGAGAGCAGTACTGAGCAACATTTTGTTTTGCATACACTCTGTGTACAAAATGACAAAGTCTGTCTAAGTTTAAGGCCAATGTAATCAGAAGAAATTGTCATTTTCCCTAATATATAAAGAAAAATAGAAGTTTTTCAGTAAGAAATGCTTTGTTAAAACATAACCGAGATCATTCATGCTGATAGAGGCACTTACATTTTATAAATTTTAACTTAACTAACTTTTTAAAGCAACTTTTTTACGTTTCAGTTAGCTTTTTAACTTTTCCACTTAATTTGATGCAGTTTATTTATATAGCGTTAATTTAGTCTTTTTTTTTTTACTTGTTAACCCTTTAAAGCCCGATCCAAGAATAAAACCAAACAGAAAATTACTTTTTTTTGGCTTGAAGTCCTTATTTGGCCTTTTAACAAAATAGGTAAAAAGAAAAAACAAAAATACATTTTTGATATTAA